TCTTATCCGTGTGAGTCATGGCTAACTAGGTTGTGCAGGAGAACCGCAATGAAATATAGAAAATAAAAAATACATTCTTTCACCCTACATGATGACGTCTATAAATCATGCTGACCGCATCCTCATGCGATTAAGCGGTCCATTGTCAATCTGTTGTAGGACACTTCACAATTATCATCGATAGCGCGAAGAGGACGATAACTACAATGTTGCAGCAATAAAACTAGTCCAAACCAAATTTGGAACCCAGAATAAGTGAAGTATCAAGAGGACTATGGGAAGGCCCGTGACAATTAATGAAAATTTCCTCATTAAAGGGTTTTACCACCGGATGAAAAACTAGGAATTCCAGAAATTGAAAAATTCTACTATAGACTAAATTGGGAACGAACTTTCCCCATTTTTCAAGGCTTTGTAACTGGCTGATTGGAAATTAATAATTAAACGCCCTTGACCCTGTCACTAAACAAGATTATCATGTAAGACTTACGGGCGAGACAAATTTATCTTATTCTCAAAATTGATATTTAAATTTAAGTGTTCTGGTGAGCTGATAACCGGTTCTTATCAATAAATTCTTTAAATTTTCAGTCCATTTATGTCTAACTGGAAGGGTTATATACCCATATACATGAACTATATAATCTAGTAAATCATGTCAAATATTATAATATTAAACATAACCCATTTACATTCCCCCCAGCTTGGAGGATCACTATCACTAATTATGTAAAACCATATGAATATAAAAATTGTTGCAGAGATAAGGTTTTTAATTATAGCATATGTTTATTAATAGTTATTGCTATACCGTTTCTGTTTAGTAAACAAAGTAAAGTGTTTTCACATCAGAGTCTGGCGTCAGGCTTTCTTCTTTAATTCTTACATTTACTTAGAAATGTGATCGAAATGAACCGAATTAAAACAAAGTCACTACATTTTCTAATCCCCCATTTGCATTAAGTTAATTGTCTTTTTGCACTGCATCTGAAGGGTGCATGGCGTAATCCACATGGCATCAATTCGATTTGATAAAAAAATTAATTAAATAAGAGTGCCTTAACGTCAAAAACCACGTATTTTTACAGTATCTTGCTTAGATTAGTACAGTAGTAATTTAATTAAATAATTGAATCAAAACATTTTGTAGGTAATCCAAGAATCATTTTCATATATAGTGATAAGAATTTTGCGAATCTTTTTACATTTTAGATAATGGATCAGTACCAGCCGAAATACTTAAATCTGAGTGTGCTACCATAAAAAATATGCAGTAGTCTCAGTAGTTGAATTTATTTTTAAAAAATGATAGTTTTTAATTTTTCGTCATCATAAGTGTTTGAAATTAATCAATTTCCAATCTGGTGGTATAGTCTCATATCTTACTTAGATACTACCGTTTCTCTAGTGATTATCAGGTAACTCCACATAAAGAGGTGACGAGCGGTACCATAATGACATTATTCCCTAATTAAGAGAACAATTTAAATTATTGCGAAGTTTCAAAAATGTTCACCCCGACAGAAACAGGAATAAATAATTTCTTTAATAAATGAAAGTTTTTAGATTGAAAGCGTCTTTATGACATCATTTTGTTCTGTCTATCACCATAGTATAATACACGGACCATTAACACATTAAACCGAGGAGAGAGAGAGAGAGATTTTTCATTCTTTTTGCTGCAGTCCATATCCATCGGATTTACTAAACCATTTGAAAGTCATTATTTATGTCAGAACACCGAAACTCATTACCTATGAGTAGAGCAATAAGACGGGAATTTGATTTATTATGACAACATAAATTTGGCCAAAAATGTGTCAAAATTGTATTTATGCTCTAGATTTGGTTCACAAACGGAAAGTCGATGTCTAATAAAATAATTTAGTAGCCATCCATTTTCGCCAACTACAAGATATAAATACCAGTATGACTGCACCAATTTAATTGGGAAAATTAGCTATTAGGGTTTGAAAGCCGGTAATTTTCGTAGAGGAAGAAGATCTTCTCCATTTTTGGATTTGTTATATAGTTTATTTATTAGGTATACGACACGATTAAGAAATATTTTAGCCAAATAGGAAACTAGTTTTGTATGTTTTCATTTACCAGATGGTTGAATTTCCTTTATCGTTGTGTATATGAAATAAAAAGAAGCAATAGCAATTAAACGTTTTGGAGGATATTACTAACATCAAATTAATTGAAATTATGTATTATCAATAATTTAGAAGAACTCATGGTATAGGTATTTCAGAAAGTAGAACAAGTACCTAGTCTAGTCCTCACAATCTCATGAGTTTATTTACTTGAGTTAAGTGTTTTCATTACATCATAGTTCAGGTAAAACTAACAAAAATGTATCTAAATTTCTCTACTTATACTAATCTAATTTGAGTTTGTTAAAGGTAATCTGAAAGATGAGTCGATGTATAAGTATAATTTTTTACGTCTTTTGTGCCAATTGCGAGTGGCACTAAAACATATCTGAATAATGAATAACTTCTTGGCCTTCGCAGAATAGGAAAACTTAATGTTAGGATGTGAGCAACTTCCGGTATAGGCCCGTATCAATGTTGAACGAAACGTCAACGTTTCGCCCACTTTGGAAGGGGGATTCATCACAACAAGAAAAGAAACAAAATAACAATAAAAATAAAGATATTTGTAAAGTTCTTATGAGCTCTAATGAGCCAATGGGAGCAACATGCGCTACTTCACTGCACAGTACACACGTTGAAGACATTTACTCGGAGAATTAAATTACCAAGCTAAATATTGGTCAAAATCTTGGATATAGCGACGACTGTTCTGCGTAAAAAATGCGCATAACTTTTAAAATCTTATACAAGAACTGTTCGATAATTTCGTTTTTAAACTTTTTGGTTGTCCGACCAAAAAATACATTTAAAATATTTTGTTTGTAATTTTCAATAACTTGGAGATGAGAATTTCTTCTCACCGATGTTTAGGGCTATGCCCCCTGAATTTGTTTAGTAAAGCATTTTCCTCTAAATTGGCCAGGATATGGTCAGTACTTCTATGCATTTTAAGTGCCTTAATGGTTTCTAGTAATAGTAACCCATATACGGGGTGTCCCGTGACTCGATGGACATACCTTGGTCAATTTTAAGTCGAAATTTCCTTGTGTATATGTTACCGTTGATGTGCGAAAACCGTTAAAGTCGAAAAATGCGTTTGCTTCGCAGATTACCTAGATAATCTACAGATGAACAACCAAGTATGCGTTAATCTGAAAAAAATGATTCTTTGCTTAAATAAAACATTAGAGTTGATTGTTAAAATTACCTTTAAATTGGTATATTCAGTAAAATCAACTCAGTAGTAGGAAATCTTGTTTAAATTGTGAAAAGATAAATAATTTCAACATTTTTGAAGCAAACTTATTAAATTAGGGATGTAGTAAAAAACTTTTTTGAACCTTACTGCAATGAAATCATTTATTATACGTGAATCACGTGTTTGTATTGCTGTTTTCGATACTTTTTCAATCTAGAATATGTTGAGTAATGTGCAGCAAGATCTACAGATTGGTACTTGAAGGAAATGTTGCACTTTAACGGAACTGAACCGTTAATCTGCACATTAACCTGTCAATGTGCCCACGTTTTTATAGCATTAGCGGTAACATATAGACTTTGCCCAAAACTCAATAGTTAAGAAGTTATGGGTAATATTCAATTTAACAACAAATCAATCTAGTCGGCCATGTAATTGTTTTGTCATATTGCTATGGTGACATTGTTTATTCTTTGACGTTTCAAGTTTCAGATTAAATTATAGCGTGTAGGTATTCTTTATCAGGAAATCTCCGCTAATATTCAGTCACTGCCGCTCTTGCATTTCGGTCACAGTATCCGCATAAACCATAAACCGAGCTATAAACAATATGACAAAACAATTCCATGGCCTACTAGATCGAATTATTAAATTTAATATTGCCCGATTATTATCGAGTTTTATACAAAGTTTATAAGGAAATTTAGACTTATAATTGACAAATGAATATGGTCACGGGACACCCTGCATTTAATTTGAAATGAAGTACACGCTTGTGGACGGTAAAACCCTAAATAAACGCACCCCATTTTGCTTTATCTATTACTTAGTCATAAATTTTGACAAAGGAACATTAAAAGCATTATTTATACACCATTTTCGTTAGAACACATTAATCCAAAACACAATAAGTGAATTTTTATACATTTTCAGAAATTTGTGTCATTTCTATGACAATTTGGTTGAAAACTTTAAAAGCATTACATCGAAGCTTAAGTGGCTACTTTTAGATAATTTTTTTCCACAAAAAGCTATAAGTACACATTTACACATCCAGCCATTTTCTGTTTATTTAGTTCAAACACTAACATTATAATCTCATATGACAAAATCACGGCGCAATCGACGTGATAATTGAAATTAAACGTTCTGAGAGGTGAAAAATTTCACAGGGATGGATTAGTTTACAAGAATAGGTAGATGCAGGATACAGTCGTGGTCAGAAGTACTGTCCTCCCTCATATACCTCGACTGTAGAAAACGGACTTATATGTCAGATCCTCCGTGATTTAGTTCAGTTTCATTTCAATCTTGGGAACTTTCCTCATTTTCAAAAGAAATTGTAAATTTCCAAGAGATCTGGTACCTACCTACTCGTGTATTAGTTATGTGCTACACTTGAGATAATCGAAGGAAACTTCTGACCAAAATCGTACATGCGGTTAAATCGTTTTTCATGTTTTGTTTTCAAGGAGCGCGCTATTTTGGAACCATTGAGTTATGAATATTATTCAATGGATTGCAACCAATCATAGCCCAAGTTTGATTCCATAACTGCATAGCAATTAATTATGGCTAGCATTATTTATAGAAATAGAGGCATATTATAAGCGCATAATTTAATGGTCGTAGATAAATGTTAATTATCGTGACAATCATTCTCGCTAGTATTTTTCCGTTAGCTTATTCATAAGTTAGTGATGGACCTCGATAGTGAGAACGAAAATAATGAGCTCGTGGCCGTGGGTACACCTCCTGAGGTTATGCACCAGGCAGAAGAAGTGTGTTCAAATTTATTGCCCGAAAAGTCTCGAACGAAGTACGAACACGTATATGGAAGGTTTATGGAATGGAGACGTCAAAAAAAGGTATCATCTTTATCTGAAAATGTTCTTCTTGTATACTTCGAAGAGTTATCTAAAAAGTATTCTTCCTCTTCACTGTGGACATTCTATTCGATGCTACGAACTACATTAAATCTTGATGATGGAGTGGAAATTGATAAATATCCCAAACTACGTACTTTCCTTAAACGTAAATCAGATGGACATCTTAAGAAGAAATCTAAAATCTTCAGCCCCGAGGAAATAAATGCATTTTTGAATAATGCACCTGACGAAGTATATCTTGCAACAAAGGTTTCTGACGTTTCTTAGTACGGTTCTTAGTTTAATCTTTCGTATTTTTAGGTTGCATTGATAATGGGTTTAATGGGTGCATGTCGAACCTGTGAGTTAAGTGACATGAAAGTCGAGGATATTAAAGATTTTGAAGGGGGAGTTATTATCACAATACCTAAAACTAAAACTAAAATTGTCCGAACGTTTACAGTTACGGGTCAATTCTTTGATATATACAAGAAATATGCGAAATTGCGCCCACCTACCGTTCAATCTCCCTTTTTTTTTTTAAATTTCCAAAAGGGAAAATGCACAAGCCAAAAAATTGGAATTAACAAATTTGCGAAAATGCCCAAAGATATTGCTACCTTTTTGAGACTTACGAACACGCATTTATACACCGGTCACTGTTTCCGAAGAACATCCGCAACAATCCTAATTGATGCTGGTGGAGACATCATGGCTTTGAAACGACACGGTGGCTGGAAATCGACAGCCGTAGCCGAAGGATACGTTGATACTTCCTTGACAAATAAGTTGGATACCGCTAAAAAAATTTCAAGCTCTGTGATTTCTATTTCCAATATCGCTCCACACCTGCAGCATCATCATCCGGAACATCTTGTAGTATACTAACGTATTAAATGCAAATGCACATTTTGAGACCCATGCTCAAACCAACTTGCAACCAAATTCTATTACATTTGTTAATTACGGTACCATGACAGTTAATTTTTCAAGATCTACCACAGAACTTACTCCGCCATAATTCGACGTTAAATAAGAAATCTTTCCTTTATAGAATTAAATCCTGCTTACTTTGTTTTCATTTCAGTTATTTTTGCGAGTATTTATTGTAATGTAAATGCTAATAAAATATTAATCTAATTGAAGTAATAGTCGTAGATGAAGTATAGTATTACACTCGCATGTTATGGCTCTTATTCACTCGGTTTACTTGCCCCACTCGCTCGCAAGCTCGCTCGCGTCGCAAACGTCAACCTCGTGAATAATAAGCGTCATAACATGCTCGTATAATAATATACTATTCTTGTTTTAAACCTTTTAGTACGTTTGTGTACGAAAATGGCTGATCCGAATTTAGCGGTAAGGTGCTCAAGGAAGGGGTGCGGTTTATTTATGAGTCAGGGTCTCAAAAGTTACGTTTTCTTCACAATTCAATAGAAGGGCACATTCGGAAGTATCGTTAGGGAAAAAGTAATTGGGTAATTTGGGAGTACCATGGTCATTAGCTTCATTATCTTATTCCTCTTCTTGGGACGCATTAAATTGTATTAATAAAGATAGTATCATTGTAAGTGTGCGATAAGCCTCCATTTTATCAAGGTAGCCACCACTCACTTTTGTGACGTATAAAGTTCGTCAAAGTATCATTCACCTTTTGTAACCATCCTAAATTATTTCCAAATGTAAGATGCCATAATCGTGTAGGTATAGGTATCTTATACAGTGGACCAATACTTTGATTTGGGGATCCATTGCAGTAGCTTTATTTGTAGTTCCCAGATACAATTTTCCATTCTGATAAAGCACTCTTGAGACTACTTGTAACTGATAAGAATATTTATTATTTCTTAAATAAAGTTTATAAATGTATCGGATTCAGTGCGCTCTTTCACATTGTTCACTTCGTAATTGATCAAGCAATATTTGTGTGGGTGAAGTGCGCATAAATAAATTTGAAAAATGGGTAGGACTCGAAGCAGAAAATTAGCTTTAATTATAAGAATTTCAATTTTACTCGTTGTTGTTTTTACGTATATGGTGATAGGTAGTGTTTCTAATAAATTTAAAAGTAGTGATGAAGATGACGTTAATTTAGGTAAGACAAAGAAAAAATAAACTACGTCTTTGTTATTTCATCATGAGGACATCGCCTATTGGCAGACATTGAAAGTATATGAAATGGCAGTTACCTATTTAATCATTGCGCGTCATGATAGACATGATAGGTATCTACCATTTGTGAAATAATGTTAACTTGTAGTAAGTGTGGTAGTAAATAGCTGATGAACATAGCAAAATCACAGTTCACGTCATTTCAAGATGGCTATATAGGTACTGAAATGCGTCACTTAAGATTATACCAATCAAGAACACTGCATTTTATTCAAATCCGTACCCAAGTAGGTACCAATGTAATTGAAGAAACTGGGTTGGAATAACTTGTTATTAATACTTTTTACTATTTATAAACATACTTGACTCATAATTTTGATAACGTTTATGTAATTTGCTCAAATTTACTTACTGTCTACAAAACACATTTCACAACACCATAAGATGATAAACTTTGTGTTGTGGTGGTCGAGATTTATGCGAAACAAAAAATAACCTTTATGTAATGCGGCCATCTTGGTACATACACACTCGATTTGGCATATAACATTCGTAAAAAAGAGATGATCCCTCTCTTTTAACTTCAACTTCAACATATGAGTGAGAAAGAGATGGGAACAATTTGAAATAGTTGGAAATTGGGTCACAAACCAGTGACGCAGGGCTCACCTTTCGTGAATTCAACTGTACTTATGTGATCGTACCATCTGCTCGTCCGTCTATCCACACGAATATATTATGAGCCAACAGGTTTTCGAGATTCTTGCAGAGGTTTCGTTAAAAATTTATTGCCTCGTATATTGTAGTTTGTCGCTATTAAAAATTTTTCCAACCAAAGACCGGAGAGAGAGTTATGAGGCAAGATTTTATAATCTTCTTGTATTAACCAACCTTTCCGATAATTATCGGAGGGAAAGGATTAAGGACCATAAAAGATCTACCTATACGGAAGGAAGTCTTGAACTTGTTAGAAGTTAGAATCGAATGATGATGAAAATAATTCGTGAAAATAATGTTTTTGAACTTTAACCAAAGCGTGACACAACTTAAACTTCATAAATTACGGAAACGCTGGAAGCTCGACATACTTTTTAAATTATCTAAGTCAAATACTCAAGAAAAAAGTTTAAAAAAAGCTAAACATGTAAGATGATAATTGACTGAAATAAGTAACTATTGGATTTCCTTTAACAAAGAAAATCACTAAACGATCTTGTCGATAATAAAACTCAAGTATAAAAAATAGTTGAGTATATTTAACCCAAAATTGTAAGTTATTTGAGTTACTCCACACACCAAGATAGTAATCACCTTTTCCCTAAATTTAGGGTCACTTAATAAAAATGGCAAAATCTTAGCTATCACTTTTACAGTTAAACTGACACTCGTTTTCTAATAATCGTGGCATAACTATGTTGAAAAATTAATCTTACTTCTAAGGCTCTAATTCATTTGTACACTTAACTGAGAGAAGGTTCATGTGAACTCTAAAATTATAAACAAGAAATGATCTAACTAATTCAAGGTTAACTATTCCCAGTTAAGTTTGATTAAAATATACCATAAATCGAAACGTTGTTGGGTGATTGAAAACTCACACGCGGTCGTAATATCTTTGTTGATAATGGATCAATTACTTCAGAGATAAAAGTGATCTTCGGTGCGGCTTAGATCACGTAATGCATGCGTAGAATATTTTATTTCGTGCGAATTTAACTTTTGCTATTTTTAGGTTGAGTAATTGTAAAACGAAATTAATTTGTCGTCGCTCAAGTTGCTAGGTTACGAATACAAACAACCCCTGCCTTCCTTGAGGTTGTAACTACGCGCTTGCGATTAACTTTCTTAAACAAATTCTTAGGTTCTTCCAGAATGAAAATTACTCCAACTAAGGCGATTGATGCTAGACTCTCCGCTTAAGCTGTGGCTGCTAAGCCAGAACGGAACCACCTCAACTTTCGCGACCAACGTCCCCTTTTCACTAATCACAAGACTTCATTCTTATCTAATCTGTTTCCGCAGCACTATACAAAATGGAACCAACGAAAGTGGACGGATTGTTAGGAAAACCAACGAAGTCTCTTCGTCCTCCATTGTTTTACTGAAGCGTGCTTGCTGTTGATTTAAAATTTTAACAAAAGATACCTTATGGCAATTGCCCTTTTAAAATATCTCCGTCCACCCATCTCTCTATATATTCATCCTCTCCACTCATTTTTATTGTTACCTTTTCATTCTGGAAAATTTGCTCCGGTAAATTCGCCCCCGAAGAATCGCACCTACAAAATTCGTATTCGTGATAAATTCTGGATCAAGAGACATTATCCGAGATTGCTTATGTCTGTTCAAAACTGATGCGGCTGGGCTACTTCTACCTATAACAGATTAAGAAACGCCATGGATCTGTTTCTTTTATCAGGCTTTGCATTTCTTTTGGCAATTTCCATTCATTGTTGGTAATTGCATTATTGATTCAGGATTTGGAGAGGAGGGTAAACGTATGCTTATTCAAACTTATACCTCGCATTTGGTTTTTTTGGTACAGGAAAAATTTCCGCACCCTCAACTTGCTACCGCATATATACAGGGTGATTCAAAATCGAGTGTAGGGATTTTAAGGGCGTATTTACTAGTCAAAAATAAGATATACCTGTCATATAATCATATGTTCTAACTTGCTGCGTTTTCTAGATACAAGGTGTAAAAGTTTTTTCAAAAGTCAGTTTTTATTTATTTTATTCCCACCAAAGGAAGGATCTTAGGATGACAAATAAATCTACCAAATTTTTATTTAAATCGGCTGAACGGTTTTTGAATAATTGTTAAAAAACCGATTTTTTTCAAAAAAAGTTTACACGTACCCCGTATCTAGAAAACGATGCAAGTTAGGACATATGATTATATGAAAATTCTTTGTTTTTGGCTGGTAAATACACCCTAAAAATCTTTGGTCTTAATTTTGAATCACCCTGTATAGGAAATTCATACGGATGAGTGTTTTAAGAATGCTATAATGTCTACAAAGGAAAAAAAATGATATTGAATTGGTACACTAATCTAGGTAATGGGTTAAGAAATGTACAGGGTGTTCCATTTTCCACACTTTTATAGTTTTAGTACTAAAAAAAATATAGGCGTCGTGTGCTCTATTTGGGTCAAACTTAAGATTGTAAAATGAAAATTTGAAAATATTCACTCGCTTAAGAGGTACGAGGGAGAACCATAAAATTGTGCACTTACTTCAGAATGACGCTATAATATTCTTAGTTAAAAGAGATACAGAAAAATGTTCATATAAAGGTTTAACCTTTAAAATGGTGATTAATCTTCTGATTTCAAAATAAGTTACGGGGTCAGGTAAAGAAGTTATCGGACCTAACTTCATTCAACGCCCTATATACTTTAACCTTCAAAAATATAAACACACCAGGGATATTATTCAAAAAAGGTTCAAATGAGTATAATTCCTTTTGTACTATGCGATCAAAAATGAGTTGCTGTCGAGTCACCTTTGGAGTGTTTGTTTACATATGGGAAATCGTATTGAACTTGAACTTCCAAAGGCGACTCGGCAGCAACTCATTTTTGATCGCCCGTTATGTGGTTCTGTTTAATTCAGGGGTTGCAATAAAATAAGTATCAAATTTCCAAATTTTGAGTAGTACCTATTGACTGATTTAAAATTTCTTATGCTCTGCCGTTTACTCCACAGTACATACTTCCAGTCAAACCGTAAGTCATATGAATATATGACTGAATATATTTTAGATGAAACGTATTCATTGAATGACGTATGTATCATCCGTTTCCCATATAACAATCGGATAGTGACTAGACCATCGTTGGACACTCTCTGTAGCCTCTCCTTGAGGAGACAAATTCGCTTACAATCCTATTTTACAGTGCAATGAGACTATAGGTCCGTATGGGTTAGAGATTTAATTCACATCAAAGCATATTCGGTTTTACTTTTGCTTTTGAGTTTTAGTCGAAAGCGTACGTCACGTCAGATTACCTAGTGCAAATTCCACTGGTGGCATGATTGTTCCACATTGAAAAGTTGTACTTTTTCCCAGCGTATCAAGCAAGATTGTTACCTAGGATACCTAGGATTTCATTTGTAGCCTTTTCGTCGACTATTAATATTTCATGTTTTCTGAATTTGGTACTAACACAACTATCCGGGGATGGGTACCTACTCAGTACTCATAACTTCTATGTGTAGGAAGGGTACATAGTATCCATTGGGACATACGCACATTTAAGTAGGTGTTCATTTGTATGGTTTAGATTTGCCTTTCCACGGTCCTAGGAACCTTCAATGCGCATATTTTGGGTATCTAAAGGATCTATCAATTCTTGGTATGCTGTGGAATCATTAATTACAGATAGGCATACAAACAGCGTAGGCGCATTTAGAGATAGGCGCTTGTACTCCAAACACAGTGATTAATGGGTTAGATACCGGCATTGCGCAATAATTAAAACCGTGTAGAGAGAGCTTGCGTTGTACCATATCATCATCACGTCAATCTCTACCTAGCAACTCTTTAACTACAAGGCATATTTGAAATAATCAAAATGATGGCCACATATGTATAGTGTTATTAACCTGCTAACCTCAGATTCCTTAGAGAATACCTTCACGTCTTCAGTTATACATTTTCATTACGTATTGAGAGTCGCGCGGATAGTACAGATATCCCAGGATAGTACAACCTGACGTTCTACTCTTACTCATAGTTGTATGGCGTAACTTCCCACACTGCAGCTTTTTCAGTCACTACCTACTTACTGTAAGTTACATATTACGACGGTATTCCTAGTCATAAATTAATCACTATCGGAAATGGTTTACTGAACTCGCGGTTCAAAGTTCGAATTTTAGACAATTGCCATGATAATTCTCACGTTGATTCGAACTCAAATTCGATACAAAGGTTGAAGGTATCATAATTGGATTTCTAGATACAATTGAGTCCATTATCAAATTCTAGCTATTGTCATTGACTATATCTGAGAAGATGGACGCCAACTAGCCCATCCAATCATCTTATTCCATTTTTGAAAAAATACACGAAAACGCTTCCTTCAAATAAATTACGCACAAACTGTATCGTTATAATATTTTTGTTTGTATTTAGAAATAAATTACGGAAGTGGCCGCCATTTATTAGCCATAAACACAACTATCAACTGCACACCGCCGGCCATTGATGAATTTCCAAGTGACGGATTCACCAGAGAGCAACGTCAAAAAGGGTGGATCCTGGTCCACGTCTTCATTTCATTTTATTTATTTATACTACTCGCTATAGTCTGTGACGACTTCTTCGTACCTGCAATTAAGAAAGTATGCGACGGTAAGGACAACATTAAGGTCGGCGAACGAAGGTGACATTTGTGCCTTTCGTTTCAGGTCTTCACTTGTCCGAAGATGCAGCGGGCGCTACGTTTATGGCAATTGCCGGCTCCAGTCCAGAATTATTCATAAATTCGGTCGGCACGTTCGTAACTCAGGGGGACATCGGGGTTGGTACAATCGTCGGTTCTGCTGTGTTCAATATTTTGGCGGTCCCCGCTTGTTGTGGCCTCATCGCAAATATGGTAAGTTGTCCTCGAGTGCAAGTAAACAAATAACAAAGTCAAAAGCTGCTACGGTTATCAGTGAAAAAACCTATCTTTATAGTATAATCTAATTGGACTAATTGTTTATTATTTATTAATTGGATGTAACAAAGACGAGCTTGAATACGACAAAGTATATACATTTTACGTGAAGACATATCAAAAGTTTCCTCTGTAATCGTTATTTACTTAATTAAATGCTTCATCTATAGTGTCAATAACACGAAAGCAATTTATGCCTAATGAACAAAAAACCGGGCTTAGAATTGGGCATGACTTCAATTCCCAGTGATTCCTGAATGGCTCTTTGCAAATAAAATTAATTTAATTCAGTTCACTGAAAAATAGATGAATTATTATCAATGACATATACCTAATAAGAATTTTTACAGTTGTCACTGTCACTCTCCACTCTTCTGTGTTGCTCCATTCGCTCTCCTGTAGCTCTCGATGTTTCGTCTACTTCGTTGCGCCATGGTCTCCTTGGCCTTCCTCGCCTTCGTCTTCCCATAGGACTCCATTCCGTCATCTTTCTTATCCATGTATGTTTCTAATCCCACTTTCGTGCTTCTTTCAGTTCTCGCACCATACCGACTGTGTAACTCAGTCGTACAGCGTTGGGCTACATAGCCGGGAGGCCCGGTGTTCGAACCTGGGCTGAGGTAAGAATGTTTGCATCTGGGGCAGAGATGGGAATTTCCTTAGATCAGTTTCGAGCATTCGGCCGGCTACTCCGAATTAGGTTTTCCTGCAGTTTTCCTGATTCCTAAGGTAAATACAACTTAAGACCTTCTGCAGGAGCACCCCTAAAATGCAATAGGCGGAGGAGGTCCCAGAACAAGAGAGGGACAATAAATAAATATATGCAACTCAGATCTTCCTCATCTTGCGGTATTACCACTTGGTCGTCTGCAAAGCTAACTGTATAGATATGGTCATCTTTAACGAGTATACTCCCATCCCTTCACATTTCCTTTTCCACTTGCCTAGCGTGTGTCCTATAATAATATTTTATATGGTGTGGAGGACGTGGAGCATCCCTGTAGCAGTCCCTTCAATTTCTTCGTAATTTATCTACCGATTTTTACTGCCTGTTCCGTTGTTTTTATACATTTTTTTTTTTACTGCGTTGGTCAGTATTTGTCAGTAATAATTGCTGTATTGTGTAAATATGATCAATCGTTGAGCTTTCTGCTGTTGTAAACCCTACTTATTTTCCCTTGTATTTGGGTTTCTATCTTATTCCGTATTATTTTCCCATATATTCTTCCCATTATTGCTATGACACTTATACCTATACAGTCTTCACATTTTTTTCGGTCTCCTTTCTTATAATTTGATGTTATGTATGATTGCGTCCATTCCATGGGCATTTCTAGTCCATTTGCAACTTCTTGGAAAATTCTCTGCATTATTCGAAACATTTTGTTTGTATCGTGTTTTATTAATATTGCCCAATCCTGTCTTTTTACCATTATTGATTGTTTTGACTGCCTTTTTATATCTTCCATTTATATTTCAATCATAGCTTGTTCTGTCTCTCCCTTCTTATTCTTTTCCTTCTCAACTTTTCTTCCATGACAGTTCCATCTTCGCTATCTATGATCCGTTCTACGTTCTGTGTCTCTTTGAACCCTCACATCCTTGATGTTGATGGTTTTTTTGTAAGTTTAATGAAGAAACTATTTCGCCAATAAAAGAAACTCAGTTTCATCTTGGTGGGAGAGTTCATTTTTGATGAGAAAATGTTAGTAGCGGATTAATACCACTAAAAGAAGTTTGCCTTCTTGTAGGTGTATCTCACAGTTGGTTAAGATTTCAGTTGTTTTACTACTCTAACTAAAATTATGGATTTGTTTGAAATTAGCCATATTTTAATTTCCATGACATCCAGTGCCATGGTTATGACAGTACAAACGAGCATAATGATTATTCAAAGGCCTAGGTGAATTATGAAGTTTTCCTACAACTACAAGTGCTTGCGGTTTTCCCGTATTGCCAGATAAATCAAACCAAATACAACAATTAGATATTCACTTTACGCCAAATTACCGCCAAGTGATTTACAAAGATTAAAGGTTGTAAAATGTAGGTGCAAACTCGAATGGAATCGTAACATGTTGTGTCCTTGTCCGTGTTCACTACACAGTAGTCGTGGACACGGTGAAATACGCAGGTATTCCGTATTTGTCATGGAACTTTCCCGATATCTAAGAACAAACAATACGTGTTTTAAGGTTTATATACTTACCTACTTGTGACTACCACTTACTGATAGACAAGAGGAATTTGTTATTAACCAATTTATGTTTTTCTATATTTCGTAACCACCACGTATAAGTAGTATAACCGATTTAATGGGTCCATTACTTCGAGGACCTTTCCACATCTGCTGTGTAATTTTCATCTCCGACTTAGCCAATAGTAGCAAAAAAGACTGTTCTTTCCTTAATCTTTCTGATGGAATGAAACCCACCCTTATTTATTGTAACTAGTTGACCAAAGTCACTGTATTGTTTATTGATACTGACGAAAATTCGCCCCTTTACGTCATTTTTAGTCAGTATGCCTTTTATAATATGCTCCTTTATTAATTATGATTTGATGCTCCATTCCAGTTCGAACCAAGACACCAGCCACCATCAGAAATTAAGTGTGATCCTTTACAGTTTAAGCTTCTGGCGACTTGGTATAGGCGACTATAACTTTTTTTTAAACAATGAATGAAAACAAAATTGTGCGACAAGGAACCTCATAGGCTTCAACTAAGGTAATCAATATATAGCGTCAACAAGAGTTTAATCTAAATTAGCAGTTCTAGCAATCTCTTTACTATGAGGTAGTGTCTGTGTCGTCATGAATTTTAATGTAGTGGTGAAAGAGCCGAATTATCTGGTATAGTTATCAATTCTTCCTTAGTTACAATTCCGCGCTTTCTTCAGACATTTTTCCTCTTTATATAAAGGCAGTTCTTCGCTTTGCATGAAATTTCTGAAACGAATCCCTTAGCCTGGTCTTTGCTAATCACTTGGTTTGATCTTCACTCTCGATATGTGATGAAAACAAGCACTTTTTTATTTCGGATCTAAGGCACTTGATCTTCTTTACTTTTTTCTCAGTAAGCGATTGCCGATGAGTTCTCAGAACAGATTCTCCCATAAATTATCTGTCTCAATATTTTCAGGCGTTCCTTGACTTTCCCCTCAATCATGTACACCACTTCCACAGATATTTAAACATGAAAACATAAGAATAAAGTGTGCTAATAACTGTATCATTTTCAGGTTTTACAGCTGGACTGGTGGCCTTTAACTCGTGACAGTTTAATGTACGGAATTTCGGTAATAATGCTCATTGGTATCCTTCAAGATGGAAAGGTAGAGATGCACGAAGCGGCGCTGCTGGTCGGAGCCTACGTGTTCTACATTATCTGTAAGTGCGCCCAAAACTTTCAGCTGAAACGCTTAGTGACAGCATTTCGTTTCAGCCATTTGTTTTAACAAAGCACTCAGTAACACGTTTAATCGACTGGCGCGGAGATGCAAACGAAAGCGTAACTATACGGCAGTAATGAGCGAGACTCATCCTCTACTGGGCAAAATCGAAAAGAACGGAAACTGTGGGCATATTGCCGAAGAAGGCATAATGCTAAAATCAGAGGTTACCTTGAAAGATTGCGAGGAGCTTGGTAAGTGTGCCCACTTCGCATTCACTCGTGCTTACCTTGATTTGACCACAGATGAACCTATGGACGTTTGGAGCTGGCCCAGAGGTGACCCCTTCGCCAAACAACTATGGTTTCTATTGACATGGCCCATTTGCTTTGTACTTTCCATCACAATACCGGATTGTCGCAAGCATTCCAAGCTGTACCTTGTCACCTTTGGAATGTGCGTCGTATACATCGGCCTCACCTCTTACGCCGTCGCGTGGTTAATTACCACCATAGGTAATGGTGTTTAATGATGTTCTCCTTCTTTTTTAAAACACAAATCATAGGAGACACAATCAACATTCCCGACTCGGTAATGGGATTGACGTTTTTGGCGGCGGGAACTAGCGTACCCGAAGCCGTTTCCAGTGTAATCGTAACGAAACTTGGTCACGGCGCGATGGGACTGAGTAGCTCGATAGGCTCAAATACTTTCGACATTCTGTTCTGCTTGGGCCTTCCGTGGCTAATCAAAACTGCCTTCTATCCGAAAAGTGAGGAGGACAACAGTATTACTATCAACTCATCTGGCATTACGTATAGTGCGGTCTCATTGCTTTCAACACTCATTCTTTTATACCTCAGCTTCTTGCTCAATCGTTTCAAGTAAGTACCATTAGTCGCTGGTGCAGGAGACGCTTTATTATTTTCTTTTAAGGTTGGACTGGAAGATTGGACTAACTTGTCTATCGATGTACATCTGTTTCTTGGTGTTTGCATCTCTGGTGGAACTTAATGTGTTCTTCCCAGTTAACTTACCGACATGCAATCGGTAATATTAATAGGTTGCAAGATTTTTCTTGCAGTGTTACGAATTGAACTGTATTTTGTTGTAGTAACCTTAGTTTGTTTGTGGTTCGTGTATTATTTACTATCTAACATTATTATCTAAGTGTGTGTTTGTGTCTGTTCGTTTGTCTCATTAAGATTGAAAATAATATAATATTTAGTAATTTTTTTTACCGTTCAATTGACCGCAGTTGTAACTTTTTTGGCAGTAAACAGTGACAGACATAAAAGTAAAGCTCTAACAGAATGCCGTAATAAAGGTAAATAAATCTGGTTGGACATGCGGAAACTAACCCAATGACAAAATCGACAGAGAAAAAGGGAGATCTATCGAACTGTACAATGCGAGACGTTTGTTAGGAAACTGTCTGTGTACTGTGGTGTTTTGGGGTGGTTTGTGGGTCTCCTGATGAATGGTTTACAGGAAGGTCTTGACTGATTATACAGAAATAAAATGTAAGATAACAAAAACGTGGGTATATTGTCTAAAATGCTTTTAATAATCAAGGTTTTAAGAAACGCAACCAAAGGTCAGTCGAAGTATTCGCAGGGCGCAGTTTCGTATCAGTAACATTTTGATTAGGCGAAGTTCTTTTCTGGCGAATATAAGGCAAACTAAGTATCAGCCGCGAAGTTATGGGTTCACGGAGTTTACTTGAATTGTAGCAATAAGAACATTACAAAGTCAATGGTTCTGCGACATGAGATTGATTAACATCGGTTCCTATCTTAGGTAGGTACTATCCTGAGCCATTGGGGGGCAAATAAACTGATTATTCCACTTCCACCACTCAGGTTCTCCTAGACGCAGACCTTCTAGCTAGATGATTGTGTTAGTACCCTAGACTTACGCTGTGTCTTGTAGGACCTACTTTAAGTTAGGTACCATTTTAGTGATCATCGTGTACCAGTTCTTTTATTGGAGGTAGCATAGAGACAATGAAAGACATTATACAAGATATTAGGTTTATATTCCTTAATTAAAGTTTTGAAAATGAACTCTTTTCATTTACCTTTAACCCACACAAACATTTGACAGAATAGCCAAATGGCATTGAAATATTTACAATTACAAAGAAAAGCCGTTAGGATTATTGCTAACATTTCATTTAGAGATGATTGTCGGCAAGCTTTCATTGATCACCAAATGTTAACGCTTCCATATCTATTTTTAGCGCATTTCCACAAAAATAAAAAAAAATGCGCTATTGTGGCCACTTTGTCCGTCCGTCCGTCCGTCCGTCCGTCCGTCCGCTAACTTTGCGACGCTACTAGTTTTTTTATCTTAAGAGCTATTGTTCTACTTTTTTCGCTATTTGGTTCGTTATGGTGTCGAGTCTTGTACCAAGGAAGGAATTTTTTCTTTACCGCTTACAAAAAAAGTTATTGTAAAAAAAACAAAAAACCGTTTTTTACATGTTCCATAATTTTACACTTTTGCCATTTATTAACGATCCTAGAGATCGTTTATAATTTTGCATTGCTATCTGTCGCCTGCCGGTTGGTCTCTCCGTCTGTTCCTTTGTCTGTCTGTCCATCTATTTGTCCGTGTGAACGATAACTTTGTTTAGAAATGTTCGATCGCTTTTACATCTCCGTTAGTTATGAACTGAATTGCATGAAATGCAATATGGGCATAGATTTAGCCATATTATAATACGCAATGCCAAAAGTTGGATCGAATCGCCAATTTCAAAATTTGGTATTGCGCATGCGCAGTGCCAACTTTTTTACTTATAAAAGTATTTGAATGAAATTTGATACATAGGCACTTGGAATAAAGGAAAACAAACGCCAATTTCAAAATTTGGTTTTGCGCATGCGCAGTGCCAACTTTTTTATTTATGGAAGAATTTAAACGAAATTTGATACATAAGCACTTCGAATAAAGGAAAATCAAACGCCAATTTCAAAATTTGGTTTTGCGCATGCGCAGTGCCAACTTTTTTATTTATGGAAGAATTTAAACGAAATTTGATACATAGGCACTTGGGATAAAGGAAAATCAAACGCCAATTTCAAAATTTGGTTTTGCGCATGCGCAGTGCCAACTTTTTTATTTATGGAAGAATTTAAACGAAATTTGATACATAGGCACTTGGGATAAAGGAAAATCAAACGCCAGTTTCAAAATTTGGTTTTGCCCATGCGCAGTGCTAACTTTTTTATTTATGGAAGAATTTAAATGAAATGTGATACATAGGCACTTGGAATAAAGGAAAATCTAGCGCTAGTTTCAAAATTTTATTTTGCGAATGCGCAGTGCCATTTTTTTTATCTATGGAACTATTTAAGTGAAATTTGATACTTAGGCGCTTGGAACAAAGGAAAATCTAACATTAGTTTTAAAATTTAGGTATGCGCATGTGCAGTTCCAACTTTCTTATTTAGAAAAGCATTGAAATGAAATTCTTCGCATAAACTGAAATTGAAGTAGCACGTCAACAATGGATTGCCCATGTGCAACGCTATCTTTCATATTTGTGGGCGGATTTTACGATTTTAACAGAAGTTGCATCTTACAAATGGGAAATGAATGCAAGTGGAAATGCGCTTTATGTAAATCGTTTACGATTACTTTTTAACTTGTTATTTTTACTTGTCTTTGTTTTGTTAAGCGCAATGAACATTATTTTGTTAAAAATTGCGATGTTCATTCATTCATAATTGACACCCGCAACAAATTAAATGCATTTGTCCCTAGACGCAAAACAGTTTTGATTATATCAATATAAAAAAGTATTCCTCACAATATTAAGGCTTTAGCTTTTAGTTCATTCAAATCAAGAACTAAACCATTTCTTATTGATAAAGCGTTTTACTCGTATGAGGAATTTTTCAGTAGAGTTCTTTTCGCGACAATTAAGTATTGTTGTGTTATAATTTTTGTTTGTTCTTACATTTGTAATATTTTTAATTTGCTTTTGTATTGAGTAATATATGTAGGCTATTCTACGGAACATTAAATAAGCTTTATTATTATTTAGATATCTGTACATATGAATCTGAAGTTCTGACTACACAGTCCACAGACAAATGCATTTCGAGCCCCTGTGGGTTCGGGAGTAGAATTGACCCACTCCCGTCCTGGAGATCGTATAAAAGGCGATCAATGGGCAGAGGCGGCGGCGAGTCCAATCGCCTCCCCTATAAATCCTATCTAAACCATCCTCTCCTCGCCGTCCTCTTCCCACACAACCCCGTGTATTCTATATTAGTTCTATTTATTGTTGTTAAAAAAGCTCACGGAAGCTATAAAATGACGACACTATGGATTACGACTCTTCCGAAAAAGCTCCTCAGGGGTTCATAAAATTCATAAAATTTTAAGCGCCCTTCAAAAGAAATTTTGTCATTTAAAAGTAGACATTCGGAAAAGCAATGCACGTAGATCCCTACGTGTGCTTCTTAATAAATAGCACTGTATATTTTAATAAAATGAGGCAAATGTAAATAGTAGTCGATGCTCCATGAACGGTTTCAGTGGATATACATTATACCCGGTATCTGGGGGAGCCCCACACTCAGTGCGTAATTGCATTTCCCCTCCTGAAGAAAAAAAATGCATTTCGTCGAGATCCACATCTGAAAAGTTAACCCCCCGACTTTAATCGATGAGTTCATCTATTAATCAATTAATGCAACATGCTTGTACTCACTATGTAGAAGACCCATCTAAGGTGAAATTTTTGAGGGGTATCGAACTTATGTCATGAGTCGAGGTTAAACAAATGGATATTGTGGATCTCTACCAGAAATCCTTTCATATGAAAACCATATTGTTATAATAAGGATATAAGTAAAAAACTTTGAAATTCACATTTGGCTCAATTGATGTCGTGCGATTAAAGTCCAAATAGGAAATGCAAATCGCCAATTGGCATAGGTATTTCGATCAGAAGCAAAGTAGTTTGGTAATCATTTCTTTGGACAAGATGTGACTGAAGGATGAATTAGATGATTTGAACCAAAAAGGTCATCTCCATAGGTTGAACCAATTTCGCCATCCAATGGACAAAGGATATTTTTCCAAATTTCATTATGAAATATCAATCAACCTATTAGGTTATATCTAACCATCAGCAAATAAAAAACGTTTTATTTATGTATTTATTTATTATTCCTCTCTTGTTCAAGGCCCTCAACAGGCTTGTGCCCAATTGCGGAGTGACTCGCATAATGCTTTTTAGAGGTACCCCTGCAGAAGATCTTAAACAAAAAATTGTTAAGGCTCGCAAAAACTAAGGATATGCGCACAAATCGCCACAAAACAATTACATACCTATGTTTTAAGGCATACCGAAGTTGCCCTTAAAGGTGGGTTGACACGTGCATGGTTTTATGGCGCCAGTCCATTGATTATACACATTACACATGTATAATTAATGATCAGTCCTACTTGCTCGCGAGTAAAGGTTCACACTACCTGAGGAAAATACATTTTTTTCCACGTATCACTGGCGAAGTGGGCAAGTGGCGTATAATTTTGCGTTTAGACGTGCAAATAATATCTTCCTTGGTTCGTGACTCACCACTGGCGCACAAAATTTCAGAAGACCCATCCTACCAGGGAACCTAAGGCCCAAGAACTGTCTAACATTCTGTGCAAAATAGGGTGGAGCCCCGTCTTGTTGGAATACCACCTCGTCTTCTAAGTAAAATAACGTTCCATAATATTAGTTACCATTGGATCAATAAGATCTTCTAACAATAACAAATACATGTCTCCAGTCAGATTACCGGGAAGAAAAAAAGGTCCAAGAATACAATCTCCATAATGCCAGCCCATACTTTTAATTTTGCAGGATGTTGTGTATGTACTTAATGAAAAATCTTTGGATTATTATCTGACCAATACTGATAATGTATTATGTCGATTGACTGTACCATTTACAAAGATTATTATTTATTTATTCACTCGGTTAGGGTCTCACAAAGCTGCAAACGACGATTGTTGTCATCTTCTACCAAACTTATTTGTTTTTATTTAAAATAAGTACGTTGAATACTTGTTTGTCCGCAAGACTCCTGAAAAAGTAGTCAGTTTTCATATGCTTAATGTCGAGCCCATCGGAACGTGACCCAGAACTACTAGTTCCACTGCTAAATTTTGTTCAACGTCTCCATAATTTCGTTTCTTATTTGCTATAGATCCAGAGCCGGTTGCACAAAGGCAGTTTAAACCTCGCTTGGAATTAACCAGTGGAGTTATAGGTCTAATAAGATCTAATCATATGTCTTAATCCGTTGCCTTTGTGCCCCAATCTCTCATTTTTTGTATTAAATCTTTGACGTATGAATGATGAACATGCTTATTTCCTGTTGTAAACGCAGATTCACCATTTTTTTTAAATCGAAACACTTTCCATCCTTTCCGCTATAGTGTAAACCAGGGGTTCTCAACCTGTGGTGCATGTACCACTGATGGAACATATTATT